GAGGGTGGAGGATGGAGGAGGAGTAGGAGGGAGAGGATGATGAGAAGGAGGAGGAGAGGAGGAGGAGGAGGCAGGAGGAGGAGGAGGAGGAGGAGGAGGAGGAGGAGGAGGAGGAGGAGGAGGAGGAATACTACTACTAGTAAGCGTAACCTTACGAATACTATGCATGCGACTAATATGCTTAGTGATGCTAAGAAGGGTAATAACACTACTAATTAGAAACAAAGGCTAGTGATAGTAAGAAACATATCAAGAATGCTAACAACACGAATAAACATAATGAGGCTAATAATACGAGGTGCAGGATGAGGACGAATAGGAACTGTGGGGGTATGGAGGTCGGATGTGGAGGGAGGGGTGGGTGAAGGGGCGATGGAGGCATGTACCATCTATGGGTATGGGGGGTAGGGAAGGGTGGGCTTGGGTTGGGGGGGTGCGAAGGGGCGAATGAAGGAAACGAGTGTCATAGAACATGTCCGAAACTTGTATCCTCCAGGGGCAGTGCGGTCACTGACCACAGAGACCAAACGCGTAGCTCGATGGCACTTCCCGCGCAGGTTGGGCACGACGCTGGGATGGTCGTGTTCAAGCTCGACTGCGAACGGCCCGCCCCAGCCCAGCGCTTCGCTCTGTCAGCATCGCTCCGACTCCCCGCCCTCCTCATGTTCGAGTATCGTTTCGGCCCTACGGCCAACCACGGTTGTTGGGATACGCCAATCCCGCACGGGCCCCTCGTGCCCGTTCGCTTGAGCCAGTACTCGCATGCGGACCCCTCGCCCAGGCCGTTGCCTGACGGCCGTATCGTGTGGCGTCCCGTGCGCCTTCCTGCTTCAAGAGGCGATGGCCTCCTACCATAGTTTTGGTGGGCCGAAGGTCAGTACAGTGTAATCGCAGTAATCGCCTTTCGGCTTTACGTTTTGACCCACTTCCTTCGAATGGCCTGTTGCCCTCGCGTAGGTTTGCGCTTCAGCCGTCCATGCGACAGTTGATTTCGCACGCACCCTTCCATACAATGTCATACCTCCTGTCTCTTCTCTCCCCGTGCCCTGTGTGATCGAAGGCGGCAGGAGGTGGAGGAGAGGGTTGGGGATGTGATGGGCCAATGTTTGTGATGGGGGGTGGGGAAGGAGGCAGGGCATGGGTAATGTTGAGGAGGTTGAAGATTGTGAGGAGATGAGAGCGACAGGCAGGAGAGAGATGGGGGAGGGGTTGGAGCTGGGGAGAGGCCAAGTTCCGTAAAGGAACAACACAAGCTGTCTCGCTGACTCCTGCCCGCCTTTCAACACATACGTACGTAGCATCGGATATTTAGCATAGGCATAGGGTGCCACCCGATTGGCAGCCACCGGCAAACACTTCTTGAAGCTTAGCGGGCTATACAGCAACGACTGCTCGGCGCTTTGCCCTGGCCGTGGAAAAGTAGGAACACGCAGTGACCCAACGACGGAGGGCGGCCGCCCTACCATCTGGAAGTTCTGTTTATTTGTAGTATTGTTAGGGCTTATGTTTTCTGGGAAGCTGAAGGGACTCCCGTCGGGGCGCAGCGAATGCGCTTATGACTGGCTATTGGACGGACTTGATTCGGCAGCATATCATGGGAGTCTTGTACACACTTGTAATTCCGTCTGTAGCGTCGACTAGCGTCGATTAGCGTCTGCGAGTCGATGAGATAGTGCCGATTTAGCGTCGGCTAGCGTCGATTAGCGTCGATTTTGCGTCGATTCGCAAAAGGCGATAAAAGGGTATGGGAGCCTCCCAAGGGCTGCCACCGAGTCTTGGGGGCACCTGCTTCAGACACCCATCAGAGGCGGGAGGGCGAGAAGTTCAAAGTCATTGAGAAGCCGTAGCTGTTCTAAAGGATCTTGCTTCCCTGGGGTATCCCTGGGAGGCTTCGGAGCCCTCGTGGCCGGTTCTGAGGGCATGCCCTGGCCTCCTGGCGGCACTTGGGGGGGCCCTGTTGGTCCAACTTGGACTACCTTGCACCATGTTGGAGGCCACCGCAGGTATCTGGAGAGCGAAAGCGGACCCTTTTGGCCCATCCGTCACGCCCATTCTAGGCCCAGTGGGGTCTGGAAGAGCTGACGTTCTGAGACACCCACGCCCAGAGGGTTGGTGGGGAATGCGCGCCAGGTGCGTCGCGTGCGCGAGCTGCGCCACGCGTGCCATGTGATCCAGGTGCGACAGATGCCTCAGGAGCGCCAGGCCAGCTCGACACGTCCGCCACGACCGCCAAGTGCGCGACGCGCGCCGAGTGCGCCAGGCGCGCCAGTGCTCTTGACATCGCGCATCGGGCAACGTGCCTTCTCTCCACCAACCCTGGCAATGACCACTGTAAAGTAACGACGGGGTGGTTTACATCGGATACAGTGTGTACACCCTCAGTCCCTGTGTATCGAAGACGCCTACGGCGAATCATCGCGGCCCCTTGTCTTTTGGAATCGCCCATGTGGCCGAGCGTTGTGGCAAGAGCTCTGCCAAGTTATCGGACCATGTGTTCCCCCAGCCGTTGTGGAAACCCTTCGAGGAACACTTGTTGGAAGATGGCGGGGAAGATCAGGAGGAGGAGGAGGAGGAGGAACAATGAGAGGGCATCTTGGGAGCCTCTGGGGGCACTCTTGGGGCCTCCTGGGAGATTCCTGTGCGCTTCTTGGAGGCATCTTGGGGGCCTCCTTCGGCCTCTTGGGGGCCTTTGGGGTGGGGGCTTCTCGGGGGGCTCCTTGGCAATCTTAGGGCATTCCTGGCCCGTCTGACGCCGTCGTGAGGAGTCACCTCTCTGGGCCGACTTATGGCCCTCTTGGACGCCATCTTGGGCGTCTTGGAGGCCTCTTGGGCCGTTCTGAGGGCGATCTTGGGACGATCTTTGGGGGCTCTTGGGCCGTCTCAGGCCATCGGAAGGTCGAAAAGAAGCAAATGCCAACATCTGTCGAACACAAACAGAACACAATGATTTTGGCCTCTTCTTGGGGGCCCCTTGGGCCGTGTTGGAGACTTCTTGGGGGCTCCGTGGGCCATCTTGGGCCGTCTTGGTGGGCTCCTGGCCCACGCCGTCGGAAGCCGTCTTGGGGCCTTCTCTGCGCCGGCTTAGGGCCCTCTTGGGTACTCCAGGGCCGTCTTGGAGGCCATCTTGGGCGTATTCGAGGCCTCCTGGGCCTTCTTGGGGCTCCTTGGGGCCGTCTTGGGGGGCCGTTCTGGGGCCATCTTGGATGCGTCTTGGTCGATCTTGTGGCGATTTTTGGGGGCTCTTGGGCCGTTTCGGGCAGTCGGAAGGCCGAAAAGAAGCAAATACCAAATTCCTTCAAAAACCGTTGAAAAATCAATGATTTGGGCCTCTTCGGGCCTTCCTGGAGGCTCTCTTGATGGCCTCTTGGGCCGTCTTGGAGACCTCTTGGGGGCCACTTGGGCCGTCTTGGGCCATCCTTGAGCCATCTTGGGCCGTCTAGATGGCCTCCTTGCCCGTCTGACGCCGTCGGAAGTTGTCTTGGGGGCCTCTCTGGGCCGACTTGGAGCCCTTCTGGGGTGCTCCAGGGCCGTCTTGGGGGCCATCTTGGGTGCGTTGGAGGCCTCTTGGGCAGTCTTGGGGCCGTCGTCGGGGCCTTTTGGCTCGTTCTGGGGCCATCTTGGAGGCCTCTTGGGCGATGGTGCGGCGATCTTTGGGGGCTCTTGGGCCGTCTCGGGCTGCCGAAAGAAAAACACGCAAATCCTGCAAAAACAGCTGGAAAATCAGTAATTTGGGCCTCTTCGGGCCTTCCTGGAGGCCCTCTTGGAGGCCTCTGAGAGGCCATCCTGGGCCGTCTTGAGGAGGTCATCCTGGGCCGTCCTGGGCCGTCCTGGAGGCTTCCTGGGCGGTCTTAGAGGCATCTTGGACCCTCTTGTGCCGTCTTGGAGGCCATCTTGGACCATCTTGGGCGAACTTGGAGGCCATCTTGGGCTATCTTGGCCCTCTTGGGAGGCATCTTGGGCCGCCTTCGTGGATTCTTCTGGACGTTGAGGTTGTTTCCGGTCCCCTCAGGGTGTTCGGCGGGACGTGCCGAAGCCCCAGAGGGAGTTCTTCGGGAAAAAACTGAAACCAAGCCAGTAGGATCCAGCACGCCGGGCACCCCTGTGGCAAGACCACAGAGGGCGGAGGATCTAACAGCCTGGCCCAAAAGAGCTCCAAAAGGACCCCCAGGAAGGCCCGGAAATGCAACATTTTTTGATTTTCGCAAGGTTGATTGCTAGATGTTTGTATGTCGCACGGAAGCCTTAACGCCAACAGGGCCCCAAGACACTAAGCCAGCGACCTCGCGCCCTCACAAAATAAACGCGCTTTCCGTCCCTATGTCAAGCAGGTGACAGAAAGAGCGAGGTACGAGTGATGTACGTATTTGGTGGGGCGAAGCCCTTAAGGGAGGGGTTCCAGAGAAGGTTACAGGCGCGCCAGGATCCGTGGTAATTGCATGGCCAGCTTTCTTCATATTATTTTTTCGAGTGAATCGGTTCCTGGGCGGCTCCCATGACCTGTTTCTTGTTTTTTTTCGAGTGGAACGGCCAGAGGGCCCCAAGACGGCCCAAGAGGACCACAAAACTGCCTAAGAGGGCACCAAGACGGCCCCAAGAGAGCCTCAGATGGCCTCCCGACGGTCCAAGAGAGCCTCCAGACGGCTCCAGAGGCCCTCCAGAGGGGCACCGAGAGGGCTCCCAGGGCCAAAAATCATGGATTTTTGCTGTCTTTTTTTGCAGGTTTTTGGGGCTTTGCTTCTTCGGGCCAAGAACGGTCCCAAACGGTCTCAGAGGGAGAGCCCCAGGAGGGCCCACGAGGCTCCCAAGAGGGCCCCAAGAGGCCCTCAAGAGAGCTCCAATACGGCCAAAGGCCTCCAGGACGCCCCAAAGACGGCTCAAAATGGCCCCAAGACGGCCTCCAATAGCACCAAAAGGATTCCCGAAGGGCTCCATAATAAGGCCCCAAGAAGACCCCGACAGGGCCCAATATACGTTCAAGCACACCATGGCTCCCATCAGCGAACAGTGACGTAACACGCTGTTGTCACCAAGGCTACCCAGAGCGCGGTGACGTAAAGAGCTCGTCACACCAAAGCTCCTAAGAGCGAGCGGCATCGTAACAGTCTCTGAACACCAGGGCTCCCAACGGAGAGCGGCGACGTAACATGCTCTTCACGCCAAGCTTCCCAAGAGCGAAGGGTGCCATGAGCCCCCTCGGGCAAGTTCCTGAGGCGCTCTTTCCGTTTCCGTGCCGTCCAGATAATGGAAAGGGCGAGGCATGAGTGATGACGTTCTAGTGTGGGGCGAAGCCCTTATAGGGAGGGGTTCAGGGGAGGTTCCAGGGGGGAACGTTTGAGTGTTAATGGCCGCAGGGGGACCGTTTCCTTTTGTGTTTTTTTGAGTGAAGCGGCTCGCGGGCGCCTTCCATGGTCCGTTTCCTGGTATTTTTTCGAGTAAAGCGGCTCAAGGGCCCAGCGACGGCCCGAGAGGGCCCCAAAATAGTCCATGAGGACACCAAGATGGTCCCAAGAAAGCCCCAGATGGCCTCCCGACGGTCCAAGAGAGCCAGACGGCTCCAGAGGCCCTCCAGAGGGCCACCGAGAGGGCCCCCAGGGGCAAAAAACATGGATTTTTGTTGTCGTTTTTGCAGGGTTTTGGGGCTTCTGCTTTTTCGGGCCAAGAACGGTCCCAAACGGCCTCAGAGGCTCCAAAGATCGTCCCAAGACGGCCCACGAGGCCCGCAAAAGGGCCCGAAAACGGTCCCAGAGGAACACAAGACGGTCCCAGAGGGGCCTAAAATGGTCCAAGAGGGCCCCAGACAGAGCCCCAAGACTGCCAAAGGCTTCCAAGACGCCCCAAATTGGCCCCAAGGCGGCCCAAGATTGGCCCACAAGGGTTCCAAAAGAGCTCCACACGGCCCCCCAGAAAACCCCCAACAGGCCCAAGAGACGTTCCAGAACACCATGGCTCCCATCAGCGAGCGGGGACGTAACAAGCTCTTGACACCAAGGCTCCCCAGAGCGCGGTGACGTAAAGAGCTCGTCACACCAAGGCTCCTAAGAGCGAGCGGCAACGTAACAGTCTCTGAACACCAGGGCTCCCAACGGAGAGCGGCGACGTAACAAGCTCTTCACACCAAGGCTCCCAAGAGCGAAGGGTGCCATGAGCCCTCTCAGGCAAGTTCCTGAGGCGCTCTTTCCGTTTCTGTGCCGGCCCAGGTGACGGAAAGAGCGAGGTACGAGCGAGAGACGTTTCGCAGGGGGCGAAGCCCTTATAGGGAGGGGTTCAGGGGGGAGGGGACAAGCCCAAAGAGATTGGATCTAATGGCCGCCGGGGACCGGTTCCCTGATATTTTTTTCGAGTGAAGCGGCTCCTGGGGCGCTCCCATGGCCTGTTTCTTCGTATTTGTTCGGGTGAACCAGCCAGAGGGCTCCAAGACGGTTTCAGAGGGCCCCAAGACGGCCCCAATAGAGCTTCAGATGACCTCCAGACGGTCCAAGAGAGTCGAGACGGCTCCAGAGGCCCTCAAGAGGGCTCCCGAGAGGGCCTCAGGAGGCTAACAACAGAGCGAAGAGGGCCCCCAGACGGCCCAAGAGGGCCCAAGAGGGCCCCCAGACGGCCCCAAGAGAGCCGCAAGAGGGCCCCAAGAGGCTTCCAAGCGGGCCCGAAGAGGCGGTACGGGGTTTGGGCTGCTTGGGTGTAGGGACTGGGCTGGCCCAAAGACGGCCCGAGAGTCCCAAAACGGTCCAAAAGGGCCCCCAATAGGTTCCCAAGAAGCCCCAGAGACGCTAAGGAACACCATGGTTCCCTACAGCGAGCGGTGACGCAACAAGCTCTGACCACCAAGGCTCCCCAGAGTGCGGTGACGTAAACAACTCTCAACACCAAGGCTCCCAGGAGCGAGCGGCAACGTAAAAGTCTTTGAACACCAGGGCTCCTAACAGAGAGTGGTGACGTAACAAGCTCTTACCACCAAGGCTCCCAAGAGCGAAGGGTGCCAGGAGCCCTCTCGGGCAAGTTCCTGGTCCGCTCTTTCCGTTTCCGTGCTGGTCCAGGCCCTCGGCCCATCCCGCCACCGTGCCTGGGTTGTGGGTCAGAGTTCTCAAGGGTGCCTCTTGCGGTGTCTTCGGAGCGCTCTCCGGGGCCTCTCGGGGGCAGTTTTGTGGCCTCTCGGGAACCTTTTGGGGGCCTTTTTGCGGCCTCTTGGAGTCCTTACGGGGCCTCTTGGGGGCCTCTTGGGACCTCTTAAGGCCTCCTGGGGAACCCTCTGGGGCCGAGTGCTCCACATGTTCGCTCGGGTTCCCCATCTGGCGTCCCTCTTGGAGCCATCTTTGAGCCCTCTGTGGCCGTCTTGGGCGCCTCTTGGGCCGTTTGGGGGCCCTCTTGGGCCGTCTTGTGGCCCTCGTGGGGGCCTCTGGGGCCGTCTTGGGGCGATCTTTGGGGCGTCTCGGGCCGTCTTGGCTCATCGTGGACCGTCTTGGGGTACTCTTCGGGCCCTCTTGGTCCATCTGGGGGCCCTCTTGGCTCCGAAAAAGTCAAGTTGGGAGCGGCGCCAAGCGGCGCCAAGCCACGAGAGATTTGCCCCTTAGACTCAGGATTGAGGACTGAGGCTCAGAGGATTAGGGAAAGAACCCGAGGACACGCCCACTCCGTGTCCAGAGGCACGGTGGCGGACTTCTTTTTGGCAATGGATGTGGGCTGGCACGCGGTGGACAATTGGCTCACCATCATCCCCGTCGAAAGCCGATGCATGGTGATGGCTGGATGCCTGTTTTTTTTGACACAGGTTGGTGGGAGGTTCGGTTGGAGCATTGTTTCGGGTCCGCGGCCACTCGAAACGGGGAAGGGGCGTTTGTTACGGAGGAGCACTGATGGTGTTTTGGATGGGAGTCTCCCCCCCAGAACCCTCTCAGCGCCTTCCACCTCCCTCCCTCCTCCATCCATCCCTGCCTCCCGCCCCTTCCCCCCTGTAAGCTTAGTATGTATAGCAATGTATTGGTCAGAGAACAGCGCACTGCAATGTACGGATAGATCTCGTTGGAAGCCTGCTGTCGCTACTACCTAGCAGCTCGCCGTCGAAACACAAACCACGTTGCTAGCTCACGAACGACAGACGGGCGATGAAGTGGCATGCAGAACGTTTGGTTTTGCCCCGCTGGTTGACGGTGTAGTGTTGGCAGCAGCTCGAGTAACCCTGCTTTTTGACGCTGCCTGCTGCAACCGCGACTCCGCGGCCTGCCTCTGGCTGCAGGCCGTCTGTCAGAGCGTGAATTACCTACCCCGCTTTCGCTTCCAGGCAAAACCAAGTCATACCACGCGCCTCCTCGTCAAGCGGCCTGACCAGTACAGGCCGTAGTTTGGCATCGTTTGGTATCTCTTGGAAGCGAGGGTGGTCAAAAGCGAGGTAGGTTTGTTTGCCCCCTAGTCTGGGCTAGACCGCGAACGTGTGCAAGGCAAGGCGCGCGAAGCAAAGCCCACGGACGGGGCCGGGATGCGAGCGGATCCCCCCCTCCGCGCCCCGCCGTCAGGGGCGGGAGGCCGCGCCGGGGGGGGTGGCGGTTCTGGCCTCGGGAGCGGGCTCCCGGTGCAGAGGCCCCCCCGTGATGCCGCTCTCGTGGTGCACCTCCTGCCCCTTCCCGTCGTCGCCGTCGTCGTCGTCGTCGTCGTCGTCGTCGTCGTCGTCGTCGTCGTTTCTGGCCCGCTTCACGCCCACTGCGCGTGCGCGCGAGTCCCTCAGGGGCTCAGCTGCTCAGCTGGTCCTCGAGGCCTCTCGGAGCCGTCCGCGTGCGGCCTCCCTCCCCCTCCCCTCTCCCTCCCCTCCCCCTCGCCTCCCCTCCCCTCCCCTCCCCTGCTCTCCCTCCCCTGCCTCCCCTCCCGTCCTGGCTTGGGGGTTGGGCCCCTGTCCGACCGCGCCGCGGCAGCAACTCTGCGGGGCCACTCGCGCCTCTGGAGCGCGCGGCCTCCCTTCGGAGAGCCGACCGCGAGCGCTCCCGGGAGAGTGAAGCTGGAGGAGGGGGGAGGGCGCCAGGAGAGAACCGTAGGGGGGGTGGGCCTGCCCTCCTCCCGCTCGGGCGACGACATCTGTACACATTCGCTGCTGCCTGGCCTGGCCCGTCCTGAACCCAGGAGCTGTGTACTACGCCCTCCTGGCCAAGCCGGGATGGCGTGGCGTATATACACCGCTGCCGGGGTCAGGATGGGCCTGGCCAGGGAGCAGTGGACATGGATTAGATTTCGCCGCCCTCCTTCCGCCTCCCGCCTTCCGCCTCCCGCCTTCCGCCTCCCGCCTTCCGCCTCCCGCCTCCCTCCCCACCCACTCTGCCCCCCTTCCCCCTTCCGCCCGCCTCCCCCGGGGGAGGGCCCTGCGGGGGTGCGCCCCCGGGCGGGGGAGCCCCCCCCCCCCCCCCCCCCTTGGCGCGGAGCGGGCGGAACGCTGGCACGGAGGCCCCTCTGCATGGCCCACAGCGAGCAGCGGTTCCTCCTTCTTCTCGTCCTCGTCCTCGTCCTCGTCCTCCTCCTCCTCCTCCTCCTCCTTCTCGTCCTCCTCCTCTTCCTCCTCCTCCTCCTGCCGAAGGCCCCTCTGCATGGCTCACGGCAACCAGCTATTCATGGTGCAGGAGAGGGATGTGCATGCCGGGCGGCTCAGCGTTCGCCCGGCGGAGCGCCCAGGAAGGGGGCTGGGAGCGGCGGGGAGGGGGCGGGACAAGCTAGGTGAGCTCGCGTCATACCTGACGTCCTACCTCTCCCTCCCATCCCTTACCATGGCGTAGATCTCCTCTCTATTTGCACAGCCGGATGTCGAGCAGGGCAATGATCGCGAGAGGGTACGCGATGCGTGGTAGAGCACGGTATGGCATGGCATGCCATAGCATGGCGTGGCATTGCGCAGCGAAGCATTGCATCACAAAGCATTGCAATGCACAGCATGGCATTGCACAGCGGCGCAGAACACAACACCGCACAGCATGTCATGGCATAGCGCCAGGTTCTTTGGAGGGTAAGTGGAACGTCTTTGACAGGTCTGGGCCAGTCTGGAGTCATGGCTCCATGTCTGGCTCCTTGGGCTCCCCGAAACGCTCCACAAGGCGGGGCTGATGGAGAGCACCCGCTGGCTCTGCTTCCAACGTCGCCTTCTCAAAGCAGAAACAGGGCTCCCGCTTGATACTTCTTGAAAACGGCGACGCCCCCAAGTGTGGGGGGTCCATGCGGCCCAAAAATCAACGAATCGACACCGAATGTGGAATCACTTCCGATGGTTTTTTCGGGGGGCCATTTCTTAGATTTTCGGGCCTATTTGGAAGGCCAGCGCTGCAGCGGGAGCGCGATTCGGAACGAGCGGAAGCGCGGAAATGAGGCCAGCGCTGCAGCAGGAGCACGATTCGGAACGGGCGGAAGCGCGAAAATGAGGCCAGCGCTTCGTCGGGAGCAACATTTTGAAACAACCTAAGCAAAAACCAGTTTTCCGGGGTTCCTGTGTATACAAAACAGCACGCGGAGGGAGGCCCGATATCTCCTGGACGTCATCAGGGGAGAGAGGAGAGTAGTATTCATATTGTGTAATTGTGAAGGAGGGGTGGAGGAGGGGAGGAGGGAGGATGGGGAGGCAGGCAGGTGAGGAAGGACGAGGGATATATATATATATATATATATATATGTATACACATTTCGAAATATATATAGATAATTGCAGTTCGTATTTTACTTATACATGTACGTACATTTACATATAGAGAGTGGTGGGCTATGGGACAAAGTCGTATGCAAGGGTTCTGAGTGTCTTCACTGCTGAGCTTAGCTAATATTCAGAAGCTTCGGCCGGGCAGCCTCCGCGCAGGATTGACATGGGCACGGGTTTTACACGATCACTCTTTGCAAGCGTGTGCAGCTTCAAGCATAGCTGCGCAAGCTGGGCTCGTGCCGGCCTAATTACAGCAGCGCTCGGTAGAGACGCGCTGTTCAGACATAACTCTGTTTAAGTCGGGCATGTCCCTCTAGAGGAGGAATGTTCATGAATAGAGAAGCAATAGTCAGGTGACGATTTTTCGTACTCTTGGCTACTGTTACTATTTTCCATTTTCTGTTGATATTCGCCCGTAGGAGGACATCCCCGACCTACAACTATGTTTTCGGATTGTCCATGTGCAAGAACTGTTGTACTCAGCCCTGTGCTGTTTAGCCGATGCGTCGTGCGTCGCGTCACCAATTACCGACAGCCTGACGGCTTGCCTGCCCTACGTAATCTACCGTGGGCGTGGCGGCCTAGCACCCATCAATCGTTCGAATAATCGCGTAAGGTTGTGCGCTTCGTGCGAACGCTCATTCCTGATGCCCCTATCAGCTGCCGAGTTTTGTATACATCGTCAGGGCATTTCGCCGTCGCTGCTGGGTCAGCGATCTCAGTGTCTGCAGTGTCCTCCCTCTCCCCTTCTGTCTTGATTGTGCTCGCGAGGGCTTTCGTGCTTGCGCCGTCCACACGGGCTGGCCTACACATGCGCGAGTTGTTGTCTTTGTGCGCCGCTCCTCTCCTCCTTCCTCCTCCTCTCCTCATTCCTTGGGAGTCTTGGTGTGAGCTTGTTGGTCGCTCTGCCCTGTCCCAGCTGCGACGGCTCAGACTGCCACTGAGTTCTTCCCAGCGCGCTGCGATGTTTTGCCTCGACTTGCAACTTGCAAAGCACGTGCGTCGTTTACCTCGCTTGTTCGTGTATCGCTCGTATGGGATAGCCCCCCTCTCAGGCGCAGCGGATCTCTCGATCTGCTATTCTGAAGGCCATGCGGCCGGTGCCGCCGACACTGTACGCGTTGAGGACATGTAGATGGAGAAAGGCTTGGCAGACACTGCTTCAAGACCAACGACATCAGCGCTACACCCTATCATCGCTTTTAAGGCCTCTACGACACACGTAATGACATGTACAAAGCCGAATGTATCGAGGGCGCGCGCGAAGTTAAAATTGATGATCGTCCCGAGGGTCCACACGGCGGGCAGGACCCACCACAACTATTACGTGACGGATATTATCACGCTCCCGATACATACATGCTACTTGAAACTTACCCATAGGATGCGGCAACAGGTTTCCAGTATTACATGCCGTGGGATCCAGATAATGAAGACGACGTCACGCTGGGCATAGATTGCAGTACCTACCATTGGCACATGTCCAGCAGTACGACCTGCCTCTCTCTGGAGGGGTACGCGCATCTCAATATATGCAACATGGGCCATAGTGATCGCGATCTGACCAGCGAGTGTAAACTACAGTGCCAACCTGCCCTCATGGGTGGTACCAGATACTTCGCGTTTCTGATCGACCAGCACGACAATCCGATCACGCAGGAATGCTAGAGTGCCAGTGGCTTACCTTCTCCGACGGACAACAAGCGCCGCCCACAACGGTTCTCTACGGGCAATCGAAGCGTGCGCGTGGGTGCTCCCTGGAGGAGGACGACTATGCCTCAGGATACCCGTGCGCCAACATTGGGCGCGCTCTCAGAGTCATACTCGGGTACATCGTTACTGA